CCTGCTAAACCCACCACACCCAAGGAGATATCACAAAGAAATGTCAGTTCTGCAAAAAAAGAAGTCAAAAGGTGTCTGAGAGAACACCTAGCTATCAAACTAGTTAACTCTTACAAAGGGAAGATCTAAGAGAAAAAAAGACAGAAGCTAAAAAAACAAATGAAACTAAAAAACTCAGCACAGCAAGGAAAACAATCAACAGCATCAAAAGTCATCCTACGGAGTGGGAGAAAATATTTGCAAACCACCTATATGATAAGGGGTTAATATCCAAAATGTGTAAGAAACTCCTACAATAATAGTTTAAAAAAACTAATAAGCCAATCAAAAGGTATCTAAGGACTAAAATAGACATTTCTTGAAGAAGACATTCAAATGGCCAACAAGAATGTGAGCACTCAATGTCACTGATCATCAGGACAATGCAATCAAAGCCCCAATGAAATACACTTCACACAATCATGCAATTATATGAAAATGGACTATTCAATTAAGTATTTCAGTATTTAAAATGTTAGTATTACCCACAACATAAAGGTGGGAGAAAAAAACACATACTTTAAAATGTATAATTTTCGGGCGCCTGGGTGGCTCAGTTGGTTAAGCGACTGCCTTCGGCTCAGGTCATGATCCTGGAGTCCCGGGATCGAGTCCCACATCAGGCTCCCTGCTCGGCAGGGAGTCTGCTTCTCCCTCTGACCCTCTTCCCTCTCGTGCTCTCTCTCTCTCATTCTCTCTCTCTCTCAAATAAATAAAATCTTAAAAAAATAAAATAAAATAAAATAAAATAAAATGTATAATTTTCTAGTTCCTTTTTAATTCAAAGTATTTGCCAGTGCATTTACAATAACTTCTCCAGTATCATCCATACTTTACACACTGAAAAAAAAATTGACAACTATTATCAAAAACACAAAATGCAAGTGTTGCCGAGGATGAGAAGAGATTGGAACACTTGCACATTGTTGGAGGCAATGCACAATGCTGCAACCATGGAAAACAGTATAGAGGTTCTTCAAAAAGTATAAAATAGAACTACCATATGATCCAATAATCCCACTTCTGAGTATATATCAAAAAGAATTGAAATCAGGATCTGGAAGAGATATTAAGCACTCCTATGCTCATTGCAGCACTGTTCACAATAGTCAAGACGGGGAAACAACTTGAATATCCAACAGCAGATGAATAGATAAAGAAAGTGTGCTATATACATAAGTGGTGTACTACTCAATCTTAAAAAGAAAAACAAAAAGGAAATTCTGCAATATGCAACCACATGGATGAAGCTAGAGGACATTATGCTAACTGAAATAAGCCAGTCACAATAAGACAAATAATGCATGATTCCACTTAAATTGGCATCTAAAATAGTCAAATTCATAGAATCAAAGAGTGAATCAAAGAAGAAGTTCCCATGGGCTCTGGGGACGGGGTTATGGGGAGTTACTGATCCATGAGCAAGGTGAAAGAATAGACAATTGCTGTACGACATTGTACCCATAGCCAACAGTCATGTATTGTACAATTAAAATTTTAAGAGTCTCTATCTCAAGGTAAGTGTTCTTTACATGATACAAATTAAATTTAAAAAAAAATAAGATACTACAACATTAACACCACCAAATGCTTGTGTCAAAACCTTAGAAATAGCCCAAGTCAATCCAGTGAATTTCACCAAAGTGTTAATTGGTAAAAGTGTCATGCGGACACTCCAAGAAGACAGTTCATGAACTGGGAGCACTCAAACCAAAATATGGAATGAGGCTCAGGACTATATTGTTAAGAAAACAACTTATAGTGAGGAGACAGTAAGTGTCTATTCTTCACAGTGATTGGTTGTAATATCAAAATTGCTGTAAATATTATCAGAAATTGGTCAGTGGGTACCTCACATCAAATTTGGGAAATAGTTCAAGTTTCTCTTGTGATTTCCAGAGGCACAGCAAAAAAAAAAAGTGCAGGTCAAGTTGCTCTGGCAAAATAAACTAAATTAAGCTTTATTTGTAGGACTACATTGATTTTTAAAAGTGATCATTGCCCAGGGCATTTTCAAGGCTGCTCTGTTTAGTTTTTATTTTAACAAGGGCAAGAATGTCCAGCAACAGGAAACCTCATTCATGGCTGATGAAAATGCACAATGGTACAGCCACATTGGAACACAAGAGTAGGAGTTTCTTACATAACTAAACAGATTCCTACCATATGATCTAGCAATAACAATCTTTAGTGTTTACCCAAATGGCTGGAAAACTTCTGCCTACACAAAAACTTGCACAAAATAATTTATAGCAACTTTATTCATGATTGCAGAAACAAGAAAGCAACCAAGATGTCCTCAGTAGAAGAAAGGGTAAGTAAACTATGGTACAGCCAGACAAGGGAATCTTACTCAGTGCTAAAGAGAAATGTGCTATCAAGCCATGGAAAGACATAGAGGAAACTTAACATGCATATTTCTTTTCTTTTCTTTTTTTTTAAGGTTTTATTTATTTGACAGAGAGAGAGTGAACACAAGCAGGGAGAGCGGCAAGCAGAGGGAGAGGGAGGAGACTCCCCACTGAGCAGGGAGCCCGATGCGGGACTCGATCCCAGGACCCTGAGATCATGACCTGAACCAAAGGCAGATGCTTAACTGACTGAGCCACCCAGGCACCCCCTTAACATGCATATTTCTAAGTGAAAGAGGCTAATCTGAAAAGGCTGCATTCAGTTTGATACCCACTATATGACATTCTGGAAACGGCAAAACTATGGAGATACTAAAAACATCAGTGGTTGCCAGGGGTTAGAAGGAGGAAAGGAAAAACTTCTTTAAGTAAAGAAAAGTCGAACTGGTGAGCAAAAATCAAAAAGTGTAGTGTTATACAAGATTTGGGGGAAGTTTTTTATGTGCTTCTCTTAATTTCTCAGAGACCAACATCCAATCTTTGCTGGGTTTAGAAGTGATCATTGCTTCTCATAAAAGGCCGTATAGGGGCCCCTGGGTGGCTCAGTCATTAAGCATCTGCCTTCGGCTCAGGTCATGATCCCAGGGTCCTGGGATCGAGCCCCTCGTCAGGCTCCCTGCTCAGCGGGAAGCCTGCTTCTCCCTCTCCCACTCCCCCTGCTTGTGTTCCCTCTCTCACTGTGCCTCTCTCTGTCATATAAATATATAAAATCTTTAAAAAAATAAAAATAAAAAAAGGCCGTGTAGTGTATGGCTGTTCTGTGCCTTAGAAATTTTCTCACTTGTTCCATATATTTTACTCTACCCCAATACCTTCAACACACGCACACACAGGTACACTCCCACCAGTACAGGCAACATCATTTTCCTCAATTATCCAAAAACATGTGGTGCTATTTTCCCTGATCCTTTCCGGAGGGCACAGGACACACTGAGCTGCTTCTGGACTAGGCCCAGGTTTCTCCTTATCTAGTCTTTCATGCAAGTTTGCCTTTCTCCATATACAGCTCATTTTCTAAAGTTGGTTGACATCATTGCCTGCTGATAGCTTCTTTCCTATTTCTCTCTGTGTTTGCAGCTTTCTGCCCTTTCAGATGTCTTTACTATCTTCTTAATAGAGTTTTAGAGAAATCAAGAAATAAATGTGTATTATTAATCTACCTTGGGTTTTGTTTTTAAAGACTCTATTTTTAAGTAATCTCAACACGGGGCTCGAACTTAGAACCCAGAGTTCCAGACTCCCAGCTCTACCCACAGAGCGAGCCAGGCACCCCTAGTCTACCATGTTTAGCCAAATGTCTGAGAAAAATGCTTATTATATACCCGTTTGAATTACTTAAATTGCATTTCGAGATGCATTTATATTTATAAAGGTTTGAAAAAAGTTTATATGTTAAACAAATTAAATAAAAGTTAATTTAAACCAAGAATATATAACTAATATATAAAGAAATGTATTAATGTTCTGATCATAGCACATTCATAAAATCTACTGATATGGGGATAATAATTAAAGAAGATCACAAGACACCTGGGTGGCTTAGTCAGTTCAGCGACTGGCTCTTGGTTTCAGCTCAGGTAGGATCTCAAGGTCCTGAGATCCAGTGCCATGTCAGGCTCTGCACTCAATGAGGAGTCAGCTGGAGATTCTCTCTCCCTTGCCCTCTGTCCCTCCCTCGACTACCCACACTCTCACTCTCTGTCACTCTCACTCTCACTCTAAAAAAAAACAGTCCTTAAAAAGTACTTTAAACAGGGGCACCTGGGTGGCTCAGTAGGTTAAGAGTCTGCCTTCAGCTCAGGTCATGGTCCCACTGGGATCAAGCCCTGCATCAGGCTCCCTGCTCCACGGGAAGCCTGCTTCTCCCTCTCCCACTCCCCCTGCTTGGGTTCCCTCTCTTGCTGTCTCCCTCTCCGTCAAATAAATAAATAAAATCTTTTAAATAAATAAATAAAAATAAAAATAAAAATAAAATTGTCGTAGACACAGCAACATCCATCAGAGCGCCCTGAACAACTTCTGGGGAAGAACATTCACCGCAAGGATGAGCAAGAGACCATGTCATTAGTTTTGTTTGTTTGTTTGTTTGTTTGTTTGTTTAAAGATTTATTTATTCATTTTGGAGAGAGAGAGATCCCAGGAACAGGGGGAGGGGAAGAAGGAGAGGGATATAGAGAGAGTAGTTGACTCCCTGCCAAGTACACAGGGAGCCTGATGCAGGCAGGATCACAGGATCCTGACCTGAGTTGAAATCAAGAGTCAGACACTTAAGTAACTGAGCCACCAAGGCGTTCTGATACCAATTCATTGTTACTTTGTTTTAACGTGAAATTATTTTCACCCTTCCTGAGGAAAAATGGACATCAAACGGTTTCAATGTCACTAGGGAACAGCTGGTGTTGGGGGATGTTCTGGTTCCTATGCTCTGATCGTTTGTATGATTTTGGATCAAGCAGACACGGAGGGACAAACAACCACAGACTGTGCTGGAACCAGAGTGGATTCTGGTTCCAGTGGCAGAGACGTTCAGCATCCAGGCCCCTGTCCTGCTCAGAGTTTGTGCTCAGCTCCCCCTGCAGTCCCCGTCACTGTGTCACTCATGGCACAGTAATACACAGCTGAATCTGACGCTTGCACTGAGCCTTTCTCCAAGTGGAAGGATTTGGATTTGCTGTCGAAGGTGGCTTCAAATCCTTTCTTGCTTTTCTTCTTATCACTAAAGGCATTGAGTAGGAGCTGTAGACCCTCACCAGGATATTGGACATACCAGAAAAGAGCGGCAGACCCTGTTGTTGAATAAGTACAGTTTATAGTCAGGGAAGCTTCTTCTGAGAGGGTCACTGGGCCCTCCGTCTGGGTCACTGAGTCTCCATGGGTTTGTCCTGAGGAAAAAGAAAAGAGACCTGTGTCACCTTGGGCATAAAGCTCTTGGATAAAATTATAGTTAAATGTTTTGCAGACACAATAGAAAAAAGAATCCAAACTTTAAGAGGCATTTTACTTACCAAGCATTAAGAGAACCACAGTCATGAAGCCTGGAGAACACATCTCTGGAGTGTCACCTAAATAATGCTCTTCAATCTTACCATGAAGAAAGGTTGGAGTGACAGAAAATGATCAGTGGAAGCCCACATTTCACACAGGAAATGTGATTGTGGTAGGAAGCTGCACCCCCTGGTGGACAGGGACGGAAATGGGTGCATGTTGGCCAGAGGCCTCTCAAAGTCAGCCATCTGTGTCATCCCTGACTTCGTGAGGCACATGTCAGTCTTCAGGTGGCCCTTGGAACTCTGAACAACAGCAGTCCTGACCTTTCAGGTCTATTTTGTTCTTAAGACACTACCTGATATGGAAGTTCTTTAACACAGCATCCCAGGGCATCTCTGTAGCTGGGAGGATAACAATCTTCTAAAGCATTTTACTGCAGTACTTCATATTCTTATGTATCCATGTGGGCCAGCCTATAACCCACTGACTGCCAGAAAAGGGGGTGAGGGTGAACACGGAAAAAGTAATAGGAAGTCAAGTCATTCCTGAGTGATTCCGTGTTTTTCAACATTGTATCCCGATATTCAGAAGAGTGAGTGTCATTTTTTACATACTCACTAAATATTTGTTATTTTACAAAAATAATGAACAAATGGTCTACTTGAAATACAGTATTTCTGTGGTCCTAAAATAGTACCAATCGAAAGGAATACTATCTTTTTAATAAAAGCTCTTCAGGAAAAAAAGGAACAGTATTTGACAGTCAGATATTTTGATAGTCAAATATTCTTAATTTCAGAATCATTAAAAAGTGAATAATAGCAATTATAGACAGAAGAATCATCATACATGAAGTTGTCAAATCCCTATAGAATGACCTGAGATTCTTATCTTATGTTCTCACTGTTTTGTTGACTCCCACATCAGGTGACTAGTGTATGTGAATCAGGCAACAAATATTAATGCTATACTCTTAACAGGTTTTAGCCTCAAGGATGCTTTCCATTACCATGCCTCTGTCACATTTTGTTGCCAAGATTTAAAAAAATTATCCCCACAAAGTAAGAAATCAGGATTATCAGGATAAAGTTCTGGAGAGGGACACTTCTTCTGTAAAGTGCTATAAGCATTTATATCTAGACACAGAGATGGAAGCTTAGCTCAAGATATTTCCTAGAGGCCACTCTCTACAGATTCAGATCAAGGAGCTTCATGACTCCAGAGCCAACATGGGAACAGTTTCCCAGATGCAGAGGGAAGTAAGACATTCAGGCTTGGATATTTCTTGGGTTCACCTGTCCCTTCCCTTCCCCTCCACCTTCCAAATCACATTTTCAGTCCTGCCACAGAACCATGCAAGAAAGGAATTGGAGACAAGCCCCTACAAACCTGTATTCAGATATACAGGGGAAATCCCAAAGAGGTTAGGATGATAATGGTTGAAAATAAACATGGGGCACTGGGTTCTTGGAATGGAGCCCTGCATGGGCCTCTGCTCAAGATTCTATCCCTCTCCCTCTTCCTCCCCCCCCGCCCCTGCCCTACTTGTGCTCGCACTCTCTCGCTCTCTCTGTTTCTCTCTTACTCTCTATCACTCTATCATTCTCTCTAAAATGAATAAATAAATAAATAAATAAATAAATAAATAAATAAATAAAATCTTTTAAAAAAAGAAAATAAACAGCATAGCATACGGTTGCAGAAAGTCATTGTAACTTTAAAAAAAATACATTCAGGTCAATGAAAGCCTACAGGAGAAATATTTTGCTCTTTGGGTCATACAGAGGACTTGCATGTCATTGAGGGAAGATACTGCATAGTAAATATGGATAATTAATGGCTTTTATTAATGCATATTTTACATAAAAATAAACTGCACCAAATTAGACAATTCTATATAATTTGACATGTGTATATATTTGTGAAGCCCTCACCACCATCGAGATAATAAACATATGCTTCACCCCAAAAGTTTCCTCATGTCTCTTTGCAGCCCTTCTTTCAACCCTCATTACTCTCATTTCCAGGGAACGCTTCTGTCATGAATGAGTTTGCATAATTTATAATTTTGTATTATGGAATCATATGTACTCTTTTGTCTGGCTTCTTCTCAGCATAATTATTTGAGATTCTTCCATTGTCATAATTATTAAGACATTGTTTCTTTTTGTTGCTGAGTAGTATCCCATCATGTGGCTATAAAACAGTTTGTCTATTCACCTGTTGATGACCATATCGATTCATCCCAGTAGGGCTCTCACAAATACAGCTGCTATGAACATTTGCATATAAGATAATTTATAGACATATTTTTTCATTTCTCTTGGGTCCATATCTGGGAGTAGAATGGCTGGATCATATGGTAGGTGTACATCTGACTTTCTTAAAACAATTTGTTCTAGTAGCTTTTTTTTTATAAATTCCCTTGCCTTCTCTGCTCAGACAGTTACGCTCTCTGTTAATAAAGATAAGTTCACTTCTTCCTTTCCAAACTGTATGGCTTTTGTTTCTTCTACTTGCCTTATCACATTGGCTCAAACCTCTACTTCAATATTAAATACAACTGGCAAGAGCCAAAACTCTTCCTTTATTTCCCAAACTAAGGAGAAAGCAATTAAGCTTTCACCATCAAGTATGACATTTGATGTAGACTTTTTTTTTTTTAAGATTCTATTTATTTGTTTGACAGAGAGAGAGAGACAGCGAGAGAGGGAACACAAGCAGGGGGTGTGGGAGAAGGAGAAACAGGTCTCCCACGGAGCAGGGAGCCCGATGTGGGGCTCGATCCCAGGACCCTGAGATCATGAACTGAGCCGAAGGCAGACGCTTAACGACTGAGCCACCCAGGCGCAGCAGATGTAGACTTTTTGTAAAGCCCTTTTTTAAGGTGAGGAAATTCCCTTCAATTCTATGTAATTTGCTGAGAGTTTTAATCAGGCATGGATCTGAATTTTATCAAATGCTTTTTCTGGACCTATTAAGATTACCCTCCTAAATTGCTCATCTGCTACTTGTCAATCTCTCTGGGTGTGTTATTGATAAATTGTCACAACAAAATACTAAAGAAGATACCACTCTCCCATTTTACCAATAACGAAACAAAGCTCAAAACTATCCAGAAAGTTCACAGCAGAGCTAATAGTTTAGAACACAGAGCTGGATGATATAAAACAACAACAAAAAAGGAAAACCACAGAGACATTTCATGGCCTTCCTTATTCTAACAATGCCTGTAACATAATATATGCTCAATAAATATATACTGAACAAACTGATCTGAAAAATCTAACAATTCACACACATTATTCCTGACTTTGAGTCAAATCTTTCTAAACTTCCTTAGCCAATTCTTCTAGCTGAATCTAATTGCAAAATGGCAAATTGTTTATTGTGGCTATTCTAGTTTTCAATAAACAATTTCAACACAAATTTTCAGGGATGAGGAAGTGTTTGATGCACAATAACTCTTACCTGGAGAGGTATTTTCTTAGAGTGAGGTTTTCCCTCTAAGCCTGAACCTGTGTTGCCTCAATACTAACCACTTCCTGTCGGGGACAGCAATTCCCTGCCTTGGGCCCTACAGCAGGGAGATGCATCAGGAAGAGCCCTGGGGTTTGGGTACAACTCCCTCCATCACACCTCTCACTGTGGGCTCCCTCAGTGCACAGAAATACACTGCGGAGTCCTCCAGCTCTGAAGCTGAGATGACAAGTTGGATGGATTTTCTTGTCTTCTGGAAATTCAGTGAGTAGCGACCTTCTGTGGCATTTTGCTGGCTGTAAGAATCCTAAAGAATAAGGAAAATCATCGCCCCCACTGCTGGGCTGCTTGTACCACAACAGACTATAACTTGGGTCACTGGTGTTATATATGTGCATTCCAAAGTGACAGCCCCCTTCTCCTGCACTAACATTGCTGGTTGAGCTTGAGTTACCTTCTGGGCAGTACTGGATTCTGAAGGAAAAAAACAGAGAATCAGAGACTTTGGGAATACGTGATGTGGCACAAAGAACTTCTATTTTACACACTGTCATCCCCTTTCCCGAGGTATCCACAAGATCCTGCCTATCTCTCTTGACTTTAGGTCATAGAGGAGGCACATTCCCACAGGGACCATCCTTACTTAGCCACATGGAAGCCATGACCACCTTGAGAAGGTTGCAGAGCAACACGTTTGAGTTCTCCCACTAGATGGAAAATGTCTTCTTCTTCTTCTTTAATTTCAGGGTTTGGCACTTTAAGGAAAGCCTGACAGGGTGAGGGAAGGATTGCTGGGTACATGCTGCCGTGGCTCCAGAGCAGGAAACAGGGGTTTCCTGGTGTAGCAAGTTGTGTGGGTCCTGTCATAATTCTCTGTGTTCCAGCTGAGAGTCTCTCTACCCCACATCCTTTGGATTAAGCAAATCTAAATTCAATTAGCTAAATTCAATAGCTGGAGCACCTGGGTGGCTCAATCGTTAAGCGTCTGCCTTCGTCTCAGGTCATGATCCCAGGGTCCTGGGATCGAGCCCCGCATGGGGCTCTCTGCTTGGCGGGAAGCCTACTTCTCCCTCTTCCACTCCCCCTGCTTGTGTTCCCTCTCTCTCTGTCTCTGTCTGTCAAATAAATAAATAAATTCAATTCAATTCAATTAGCCAACACATAGTATGTCACTAGTTTCAGACGTAGTGTTCAACAATTCATCAGTTGCATACAGCACCCACTGGGTATTAAGCAACTTTAATTGAAAACATTACATCTGAAAATAGGCATGAGTAAAATTTATATTGAAATGAGGATTGCGGATCGATGGTTTAGCTAACCATGATATGCTCATTCATTGCATCTATGATAAAAGTGGGTGCATGGCACTTACTATAAATATGACAGGTGGGGCCCACCTTGGCAGCACATATACTAAAATTAGAATGATACAGAGGCCCGTGTGCAAGAATGACATGCAAATTCCTGAAGCATTCCATAATTTCTAAAAACTGCTTGTAATTAATTATGTAAACAACATAAAATGTAAGAATTATGAGGAAAAAAGTTATGAGAGTCATGTATGATCACACTATGTGATTTACCTAAAGTAGAAATAAATCACGTTGTGATAAGAAGACAAGGTGTTTAGACTAATCACAGTAGCTCTTCAATGTACCTACTGTTGTGCCAGTGTTCCTCCTCACTGTTAATGTCTGTTCAGATGCCTATCTTGGGGCCAAAAGCAGAAAAATCTAATCACTCTTTGCTGAAGAGTTCAGGCTACAACCCTCAGACAATAGATCCTGTCACTGAGGTCTCTTTCTCACTGTTTCATTCCCACAGCTCAACTCTGTTCAGAAAGGCCAGAATAGACATCAGAGTTTGGTCATTAAGTTATCAATCCTTTGAATTTATATTTTGCCCTTACCGCAGCTGAACCACAGTAAGCTTCCATGCTTCGTATGCTCAGTTCTGAGCACTGGGGGTGACCACTCGGTCTACTTATATCCTTCCTTCCACCCCAATACCTTCAACACACGCACACACATGCACACCTGGGCACACACATGTGTGCACAAACGTGGGCAATGCCATCTTCTTCAATTATCCAAAAGCATGTGGTACTTCTTTTCCCTGACCCTTTGTAGAGGGCACAGCACACACTGAGGTGCTTCCACACTAGGCTGGGGTTTCCCCTTATCTAGACTTTCATGCGAGTTTGCCCCTATCCATATACAGCCTATTTTCTAAAACTGGTTGGTGTCACTATCTGATGATAGGTTCTTTCCTGTTTCTCTTTCTGCTTATGGCTTTCTACCCTTTGGGATGTCTTTACCAAAGTTCTAAAAGAGTATTAGAGGGGCTTGGGTGGCTCATTCAGTTAAGCTTCTGAGTTCAGCTCAGATCATGACCTCAGTGTCCTGGGATCCAGCCTTCTGTTGGGCTCACTGCTCTGTGGGAAGTCTGCTTCTCCCTTCCGTTTCTTCTCCCTCTACTTGTGCTCACGCACTCTCTCCTTCAAATAAATAAATAAAATGTTTATTTAAAAAAGAGTATTAGAGAACTCAAGAGATAAACGTGTGTTATTAATCTACCATGAGTTTGTTCTTTTTTAGAGATCTAATTTTAAGTAATCTCTACCCAACATGGGCTCGAACTTACAACCTGGAGAACCAGAATTTCAGCTCAAACCACAGAGCCAGCCAGACACCCCTAGTCTACCGTGTTCATCCAAAAATCTGAAAAAACTCTTATTATATACCCTTTGAATACTTTAAAGTATATATTCACATGCATTTATATTTACACAGGTTTGAAAATAAAATTTACATTTAAAACCAATTAAATAAAAAATTAACTAACCAAGAATATATAACAAATATATAAGGGAATGTATTAATATTCTGATCATAACTCATTCATAAAATCTGCAGATGAGATGATAATTAAAGAAGATTGCAATAACATTGACAAAGTCTTGCACTGCAACACAGACATTGCTTTTTCTATTTTTTGCACAACTTCACTGACTCCCATACATTCTCCAGTCCCATGATTTGTGGCTCTCTGTGAGAGGTTGCAAAACAGGAATTAGAGAAATCTATAGGATTTCCCTCCCAGCGTCACCTATCGATCTATATCGTTAGGAAACATCAGTGCAAGAGCATTTTCTTCCACCATATTTCCTGGGCACTGAGAACGATCTTATTTGAGTTCCTACTGTCAGAAAGCCAACTGATCTATTTAACTGGCCAGGACATGAGCCACTTTCTCCATTCTGTTTCTGCCCACACCCCTTCATGTTGAATATCAGCCTGAGTCGCCACCTGATTCACTAGAAAAGAAACCAGGGCAAAGGTCTCTCCTTTCCTTGTTCGGGTACATGTGTTCCTCCTCCTTTCTTCCCTTCCCTTCCCTTCTTTCTCTACTAAAACCTGGTTTGGGACTGAAGCTCTCCCATCACCTCTCCTGTCATACTCTGTCAGGAAGACACTGGGCATCACCACCTTCTCAGGCACACCATGTGTCTCTAAACGTGTCATAGACACAGCAATACCCACCAGGGTGCCCTGAACAACTGTGGGGCTCGACGTTTCCTGCAAGGATGAGCAAGAGACCACTTCACTGTTATGTGGTTTTACCTTGAAATTACTTATGCCCTGGCTGAGGAACTCTTGGCATCAAACTGTTCTCAACGTCACTAAGGAACAGCTGGTGTTGGGGGATGTTACTTCTGGTTCCTACGCTCTAGTCGTTTGTATGATTTTGTATCAAGCAGACACTGAGGGACAAACAACCACAGACTGTGCACCTGTCCACCAGAGTGGATCAGGCAGAGACACTCAGCATCCAAGCCCCTGCTCTGCTCAGAGTTTGTGCTCAGCTCCCCCTGCAGTCCCCGTCACTGTGTCACTCATGGCACAGTAATACACAGCTGAATCTGACGCTTGCACTGAGCCTTTCTCCAAGTGGAAGGATTTGGAATCTCTGTCATAGGTGGCTTCAAATCCTTTCTTGCTTCCTTTCTCCTTATCCGTCAAGGCACTCAGGAGGAGCTGTGGACCTTCTCCTGGATACTGGACATACCAGTAAAGGGCAGGATACCCTGATCCTGAATAAGTACAGTTCACCGTCAGGAAACCCTTTTCTGAGAGGGTCACTTGGCCCTCCGTCTGAGTCACCGAGTCTCCATGGGTTTGTCCTGAGGAAAAAGAAAAGAGTCCTGTGTCACCTTGGGCATAAAGCTCTTGGATAAATTATAGTTAAAGGTTTTGCTAATACAAAAGAAGAAAGAACCCAAATTTTAAGAAGCATTTTACTTACCAAGCATTAAGAGTATCACAGTCATGAAGCCTGGAGAACACTTCATCTCTGGAGCGTCACCTAAATGATATTCTTCATTCTTACCGTGAAGAAACGTTGGAGGGACAGAGAAATGATCAGTGGAAGCCCACATTTCACACAGAAAAGGTGATTGTGGTAGGAAGCTGCACCCCCTGGTGGACAGGGACGGAAATGTGTGCATGTTGGCCAGGGTCCTTAAAACCCCGAAGGGGACAATACCATACTGGTCATGCAATTACTACTCCAGACCCCTTTATAAAATCTAATCCCTTGAGAAGCATCATTAAATCAAGTAGCTGAACTAATGAATATCTATTGGATATGTCAATTTACAAAAAATCATGTGGTTGTTGTCAGTGAGTGTTTTTAAGGTAGGTCACAGCTTCCAAATACTATAAAGACAATGAGGTTTCTTAACATTCTAACTTTTCTTAACCCTTTCATGTATCTCCTGCATCCTATTAGGAAGGCACAGTAAATAAATTAATTATTTGATGTATTCACGAAATTTTAAAAAATTTTGTCAAAAAAAAGTCTCAGATTTAAAAAGACACTGTAGAAGCTAAGAAAAAAATACTTGAGCAGGTCATCGTAAACATGAATTCCAATGATGATCCTTATGTAAGCACTTCTTTAAAAACATAAAGACAAAACCATGGAAAAGTTCAATTAATTCCATCTTGGTTGCAGAAAATTTGGCACTAAATTTTGTAAAGAATCACTATGAACGGTTGATTTGCTTGATCCATGAGAACAAGATATATCAAAGCCAAGACAGCTGCCTGCTGCAGCCAAATGATCTCTACTGAGTACTTGCTACAATCCACCAGAGATAACACTTCACACTGGGAATACACTGTATGCAACATTAAACAAACACTGGTGGGTAGACTTTCCTAGGATGGCAGACAATGGCGCTATCCATGCCTTTCTCGGAGTCAATGAAATCCCATAAAATCTGGAAGGTAGAATATGCTCTGAAACACTGTCCTAAGGAAACATTTGAGTATCTCCAAAAGGATCTTACACAGTTGTATTCCCTCCATGAGCTATGAGTATGGACGGGTAATAGTATTTTATTTTCTACATGGATTGAGCCACTCTCCTGTCAGAAAACCACAGCAATCGCAAGAGTTAAATATCAATTGGATTTTGTGTTTAATTCCTATGCTATTTCAAATACTCTTTAGACAGCAGAGCAAATTTCTCTGGGAAAGTTAGGTAAGGTTAGGCCTCACACAGAAACTTCACTTCTCCTGTCATACACCAATCCTGTGAAAAAGTGGAAACAACAAATAAAATATTAAAACTGAAATGAGTTATTATAGCAGTTATCCTTGAACTACTGTGGCCTGGTAGAGCCTTAGCCCTCGTGGCCCTGTATCCTTCCCTTACAAAGTCCTAGGCTGTCTCATTATGAACTGTTCACTGTGGCCCACATAACTCAGATGTCCCAACCCATACTTATTCCAACCTTCACAAACTGAGCTAGATAAGTAAACCCTTGACACTCTTCCTTTCATCCCAGGTACAGGCTGCTCTGTGGCCATTCATTTAATCACCATTACATGACCCAAACCTTTGGTGCTCTGAACAAAATCTCAGAACAAGATTGCCATTGAGATGTATGAAATGACCTTATATGTACAATTTATTACCAGTTTGGCAGATAAAGTACAAGAAATGGATCCTTGGTTACATGTTTATCAACTGGTGTGACATTATGCATCCTTCACTGACAAGAATTGAAAAAGTTACTCATATTAAAGATCTTAAACTGAAATTCTCTGGAGAATCAGCAGAAGCAGACAGTCCACAGATGAGTGTACATGCAATATCCTAGAAAAAAACATGTAACTGCATGACAGACAGCTCCATCTAAGGTGATTAGAAGAGAATTCTCCTAGAGGTATGGAACCACCGATTTTAATACTTTCTTTTGCATTCTATTGAGGTTATTTTTATCCTTTTAGAGGTATTTTCTCATTTTAATGGTAAAATGTTAGGTATTTCTGGTTATCCTGTATTGTTCTCTCACTAATAAAATAACTTGCATGGGTATATACTTTATTTTTTTTTAAAGATTTTATTTATTTTTTTGAGAGAGAGAGAATGAGAGATAGAACGAGAGGGAAGAGGGTCGGAGGGAGAAGCAGACTCCCCGCTGAGCAGGGAGCCCGATGTGGGACTCGATCCCGGGACTCCAGGATCATGACCTGAGCCGAAGGCAGTCGCTTAACCAACTGAGCCACCCAGTCGCCCGGGTATATACTTTAATAGACACAATACCTACCCTAGTGCTATAGTTCAGCTCTCCACAGACACTGCTAGTGCAAAAATGTTTAAGAATTATTGGATATGTTATTTCATATCTACTCCTGGAAAAAAGAGGTAATTCCTATACCCTAATTAGTACTGCTAGAGTGACTCCTCATCAATTAAATTACCCTTGAAATCTGAGAAAGTATCTGTTGATAAAAATTTAGAATGGAGTTTGTACAACTAAACTTGTGTACAGAACATGACTCAACTTGATTATATGAGTTGATCCAATCTTCAACACCACCTCTCCATTATCAATTGCCAAATATATTCTGTAGAACTATATATCAAGTCTCTAAAGGAATTCAAACACTTCAAATGATGAGCTTTTCCTATGAAAATAACTTCAAATTTCAAAACCTCAGGGGTAGGAAACACTGAGAGTAGAGACAGAGGTGGGGTCATGCATGTGCCCTGTGGCATGTGCTTCCACCCACCAAGACACATGGTTCTCAAAAGCTTACGGGTTGTATTCTCCCATCAATATGACATTCTTAAAAACACAAAAATAAGAATAGACCAATATTTGCAAGGATTTGGGAATATGGAAGTGTGTAATGGCAAAAGAATAGCACAAAGGACTTTGGGGGAGCAATTAAACTATTTTGTACCACGATCTTATGATGGTTACAGGATGTACACAATGCACTAAAATTCAAAATTCACAGACCTGTACACCAAATACAGTCACTTTTCCATATAATTCTTTTAAAATTAAAAATTTAGGGGCACCTGGGTGGCTCAGTTGGATAAGTGTCTGCCTTTGGCTTAGGTCATAATCCCAGATCCTGGGATTGAACCCCACATTGGCTCCCTGCTCATCAGGGAGCCCACTTCTCCCTCTCCCTCTGCCCCTCCCCCTAGCTCTTGTGCTCTCCCTCTCTCTCTCTCCCTCTCTCTCCCTTGCCCTGAAATAAATAAATAAAATCTTAAAAAGATTTCAACACTGAGATAAAAATGGCAAAATAGGAATTTTCTACCATATCCACCCCCCCCAAAAAATCCATTGATCTTCACAATCATACACTAAACTAAAGAAAGTGCCTATGAAGAAGTCCAGCAGAAAAGACACAGCACACTGTGGAACAAAAATCTGAGATTGGATAGATTGAGGAGGGCATGAAGAACAATTTCACTTTACCCTCCTCACCCCTGCCCAAGTGGCACAACTCTGAGCCAAGAGAAACCTTCCAGCCTGTGATTTCCCCGTGGAGGGAAGTGAGAACATATGAGTGAGCACATGGCTCCCCAAGCTCTGGAGGATGCTGCCAAAGAGAACGCTCTTTCTAGCCCACATCCAGAATACTGAGGTGTACCGTTCCCTGGGGAGTGGGGTGCACCTAACAGAACAGCATCCAGGGCTCTTGGAGGGCAGTAAACCAACATGGACCCTGCAAACCACGGCACAGACTCCATTAGGAATCTGCCCATGAGCCACTGGAGATGGCTTGCCAATCATGGTGAAATCCTGAATGTGTCTGGATCAAAGCTATGTACTCACTGCCCGCTGTGGCTAAAACACTTGTTTTCTTCCACTGCATCAATTCTCATCTAAGTATGATCAAGCATTCAAACCTGTAGGAACTGCACCTTCTCTCTCACTTCTAATTGATTTAAGAAGAAATAAACTAATAATAGAGAAGCATGTTTCCTTCTGACTCCATAATCAGGCTTGGGGGAAATGGACCAATCAAGAGTCATCTTCCTTCTACAGTACAGGAGCTGGTGGTACAAGGAGGGAAAGAATCAAGCCCATTGACATACTGGGCTACAGTTCTAACCTCCTTTGGTTAGATGTGATAAACTGAATTTAATCTGAGGACTTCCCCAGTAAGAGAAAGCCAGTTACCAAATACCCAGCAATAATAACTCAGCTAAGAGGAAGCACTGTCACCCTACCAATTGCCAATTATATCCATCGTTAGTTAAGAAGACTTGGAGGGACCTTGAAAGGAGCCTACTCTTGAGCAGGGGTGGGAGAATGAGGGAATTAAATATTTACTCAGTTTGTTTCATCCCATTGATTTCTCCGCAGCACTAGAGAAATAATTTTCTAAAATAAAGGTTGTGGTTAATAATGTTTAATTCAGTCATACACGAACATGTGGAGGGAGGTTGGTAGAACCTCATCTCTATGTTAGCCATTAGTCCAAATGCCTTTGTGCAATCTACTAATAATATAAGGTGGCTGATATATGCTTATAAAAGTTTTCCTATATATCTCAGAAAGAAAGGTTTTCATTACAATGATAACAAAATTACAAGTCCAAGAATAAATTGAAAAACCTTCTAACAGCAGAGCATCATTAATAAAAAGAGACATAAAAATGGAAAGAAGCAGTATGTTCTCAAACAATTGAATGATCACATATATACTTTAAGGACTTTAATTTTTCACAAATCAATTTATAAATATAATTCAAACAGAAAGCTTAAATTAAAATTATGAGTCAGTAACAGAATTGTCCTTTCCTTCTTTCGTTAACATCGACTGATAACCAATTATGTGGAAAAGTTTTCCTAGGTACTGAAAGTATAGAAATGAATGAAATACAAAATTCTGTCTCCTAAGTTGTATGAGAGAGTTATTGTGAACAGATACAGAATTTTGTAAATGAGAATAGATTTCTGAGTTTTATCTGAAGCTCATATTGTCAAATCACTCCCTATCTTAATTTCCCTCAAACACACAAATAGTACATACCATCCCTGGGCTCCAAAGGAAAACCTGTGACCTAATTCCTGAGCAAGAAAGTGATCAAAGCACATAGAAATGGTGGTCAGATTTTGCCTGAAATACAGAGTAACCAAATTAAATGAAACTCTATTTAATTAAATACCTCACAAAGGTATTATAATGCACTAATTAAATGAAAACTTAAACATGAAATTAAAACAATGCTGAAGTTCGACATAAAGAATTGGGGTGGGGAATGCTCAAATCGAAATCCATAAAGTGAAAAATTCATGAATCTGATTATAATAAAAATAGTTAGAGACCAAAAGAATATTAACAACATTATATATTACAGAATTATCACATTCATATTTGTACTTTTCATATTTCTATATTTGGCATGTAATATTTTAGATCACAAAAATTAAAAATGCTACTTTTGAAACACAGTATTTAAGTGCTCATCCATAAAAAGGACTGTACATTGGTACTAAGGGGTTATTTATAGGACAGTAGCCTCAATGGCAAATGTATAGTTCTTTAAAACCTTGATTTCAAAATAAAACGTTACTAGCTCCATTCAAGAATCCATTAAACAACTGTCGTCCAACAAAATGTTCTAACCCTGTCTGGGTCATCTCCAACCTAATAGTCTTATTATACGCCTTTAATGTCTAACACATTAGCTTCCACTTGCAGACAAACAACAGCACAAAAGCTATACTTGAAGGTCTTTGTCAAAGGACAGGGGGCTGCGCCACACCCAGGTTTGAGTGCAGGCAGCAGGTGCTTGGGAAGCAATGTGTGCTTGCTGCGCAGAAGTACACAGCTGAGTCTTCAGGCTGGGTGTCTGCGATGTGCAGGGAGAGATGTTTGGCCGTCTTATTCAATAAAACAGTGAGTCTTTGGTCTTCTTTGGTGGCCGTGCTTGAACGAATGTATATAAGGAGCTGGGGACCTCTTCCAAACTCTTGCTTATACCAAGGGAAGTAGTCTGAACGACTGTCTGAATAACTGCAGTTGATAACAGAGCTGCTTCCCTGCTGGACACTCAGGGTAGAAGGATGCTGCTCCACCTTCTCTCCTTGGCTGAACCCTGTGCCAAAAGAAAAGGTCAGAGAAAGGAGAAGAGATTCCAGGTTAGTCTGCTTCAGAATTCTCTTCTTCTACACTAACTGAAGGAAACCTGAGTAAAGCCAGTCTTGACTTCTGAAGAATATCCACTAATATACTCTGGTTCCCATAAACCCTCAACTCACAGTTCAGCTGCAGCCACGAGAATATGATTAAAGCTCCTGTGGATGTCTTCATGGTTCCTCCCAGTTAAGATCAGCTTCAGAATTGCAACCTCCAGCTAGCTCAGCTCCTTCTCTTATCAGGCGGTCCCTTCTTTCCTCTAACAGAGTACTTTCCCACATTGTCTACCAGCCAATAAGAAAAAGACCCTACTTCTGCCATAGCCTAGTCAATCAGATGCACTAAAATGAACCCTCCACGTGTTCTGCATCAGCACAGGTGCACTGCCGTCTTCTCACTGGGGAAATGTTCTCTTAGCCTGTGTCTCTGAGGGACTCACATGCATCAAGGCAGCAATCAGTCAAGCAAATTATATCTTAAATCAGGGAGGAAGTGCACAGTGAGAATGTGGAGATCAAGAGTTTACCTCTGCACACTACTGAGTCACTGTTAATAAGCTAGAAAGAGGTAGGTGTTATTGCTGTTTATTCTAGGATGGGCCAGGTGTACATGTTTGAAATCAGGAAGGAATCGTAATTTACTCCCTTAAAGAAAATAGAAAACCTTCCCTTTCTGCCAAATCTACCATCCTCAATTGTCTATTATGGAGGAAAAACTATTTCTAAAAGGAACATGGAAGCCAAGGATTAGAGTAAGAGAGAGAAGATCATTTGATACTTCAAATGTCTCTTACCTCAGACTCTGTTCCTCCCACTTGGTCATGCCCATGACCTTGCTATTTATTCCCAGAGGACTGACAATACCAACAGTCAAAATGTGGAATCATTAGTCAGTTAAGTTGACTGTGACAAAAGTAAAGGACCAAATCTCAGTGATAAGGGAGCTGGGGGTAACTTCCATCAGTTATTACTATTTCAACTATAGGAAACAATTTGACCCAATATTGGACAGTTTGCATAGAGAAATCTGACATGCTTCAAGAAATCTATTTGAATGCTATGTGTCTTATATTCTGCAAAGTATTGAAAGAGAAGAAATTCTGAGAAAACATCAAGCTGCAAAGTCAGAAAATATAACCATATGAGTTTATTCTTGAAGTGATTTCATTTTCCCAAATCAAAATAGATGGCATGTCCTCCAACGCAATTACTGAGGAGGGAAAAGGTGTCATTAGGTAATGTTTCTAGGGGAGCCATTTTTTAAAATGCTTTAACTCTATATATATACACATTAGTTTCATGTCTCTGATTTTAATGTTTTAAAGACTTTGTTCTTTTCAACCATCTCAACCAGGTTCAAAGAAAAATGAGGCAGATGTACTGAGGCTTCCAGTGCACCTCGTGCCCCCACACAGGAATAGCCTTCCAGCTATCACCTTCCCCGTGACTCTTTCACAGTGGATGAGCCTATGCTGCCACATCATGTCACCCAAAGCCCACAGTTTATCTGGGGTTCACTCTTGCTGTTGTACTTTCTATGGGTGTGAACAAATGTATAAGGAATGTATCCACAATTATACTATCAGAGAGTGTAGGTTCACTATACTAAACATGCTCTGTGCTCTATTCATCCCTCCTGCTCCCCTCAACCTTTGGCAACCACAGTCTTTTCCTCCCTCCATAGTTTTGCCTTTTCCAGAATGTCATAGAATCAGAATCATACCCTATGTAGCCCTTTCAGATGGACTGTATTCACTTAGTAAAATGCATACAAGATTCCCCTATCTCTTCCTGGCTTCATACCTCCTTTCTTTTTAGCAGCAAATCATATTCCATTCTTTGGATGTAACACCATTTTTTTATTCCTTCACTTATTGAAGGACATGCTGCTTACTTCAGAGTTTTGGCGATTGTGAATAAACTGCTATAAAACACCTGTGTACAAGTGTGTGCATGGATGTAAGTTTTCAAACCCTTTGGATAAATACTCAGGAAGCCACTGCTGGATCGTACAGTTAAGAGTATGTTTAATTGTGTAAGAAACTGCCAAACCACTTTATTGAAATGTCCATGTACACACTTTCATTTTGTAGTAATTTCCTGACAATATTTACTACACCCTTTGCTGCCTGTCAAAGCCCCAGCTAGTCCAAAGCAGGCACAGGTACCACAGGTGGCCCTGCCAACTGCTCAGCTCACAGCTGTGACCCAGAGCCTGAGCCTGCATGTGTCCCTGCCTGTGTCCTGCTGCTCCACGTATCTCTCTGCTCAGGCACGTGCTCCTCCCAACTATGCAACTCACTTGTAAAAGACAAGTACAAGGATAAAATTAGTATTAATTTCAAGAGAGTGATGTCACAGCATTAAACCAAGGGCAGGGTTCCTTGGGAGAGCGGGGGGGCTGTGTAACTGCACAGGTCACATGCTCAAGAAGCTGGCTCTGCTCCCAGCTTCAGGGAGTCTGTGCATTTATTTTTTTTTTTAAGATTTTATTTATTTATTTGACAGAGAGATAGAGAGCACAAGTAGGCAGAGAGGCAGGCAGAGGAAAAGGGAGAAGCAGACTCCCCGCCGAGCAGGGAGCCTGATGCGGGGCTGGATCGCAGGACCCTGGGATCATGACCTGAACCGAAGGCAGCCACTTAACCGACTGAGTTTCCCAGGCGCCCCAGGGAGTCTGTGCATTTAGCTCCATCTGAATTTTCAGAGGCCCAGTCCTTCCTATCAATGCCCTTTCATCAAAATAAAAAACAGAGCAGGCTGGGTTTCAGTTTGTGCTGGAATCCTTACACATGCAAGTTTCAACTTTGGGTTTGGGGTCAGCAGTCTTTGTCTCTGGCTACAACAGAGAAGGGGATCTTTTAGGGTAGTCCTGGAAGCTTTCTGCTCCCTTTCCCAAACTGGGCATGATGTTATAAAATCATGAGTAATAGATTCATTCAAAATGCAAGGAAGAGCAATGATTTTCATGGAACAGAATGAAAATTTCCATGAACTCTCCCACACAAGGTGCTATTTAGAAATAATTGAAATGGATACTTTTCTCAGTGATATATGTCAACCCATTGTACAAATTGATCAAGAAAATCATTCAGATTTTGTGATTCTATAGGGCCTCTATATCAGGTATTCAGAGGATAAAGCTCTCATGTCACCTCAGATTCACAAACTTTGGAATAGTATGCTCTAAAATATTCCCATAATTCGTGCATAAAATAAAAGTACTTATTTACAGGGTATTACATTACTGAAATAGAAAATATATGTAATAAGACAAGTGGAGTGCCTGACTCTCAATAAAATTATCTTATTATATTTGTATTTCCCAGAGTGAAAAAGCTGAACAGAAACTCAAAAAACATACACGTTATCCTTACTATTCTTTGAAAATAAAACCATCTACAGTAACTAAAACATTCAGTCATCTCTATTTGTTGAAGACCATCTAATTTTTAGAACCTTTTCCATCTGACTACGTACAAATAATTTATATGCTAGCTGCCGTGAGATCTGGTTTCCCAGGGCATTGGCTATGGGCGTCTCGGGCACTTGCTCCAGCGGCTCCGTGGTAGAGCTTTTTACCTGCAAAGGACTTTCTGGGAAAGAAAAGGGCAAGAAATGTGAGTGAAGTGACAGCCCTGAAGAGTCTAATTTTAGGAGGAAAAACATGCTGTAACATTAATCTGAATATCTGAAAAATGGAATGCCTGCTTTGGGGACAAATGCCCGCCCCAGGGAAGGGCTGGGGCTGCAGGCCCAGCTGCAGTTTGGGTGCAAGCTGCAGATCACCAGGGAGCACTGTGTCTGCGCCGCACACAGGTAGGTGGCTGAGTCTTCCAGTTGGGAGACCGTGATGTGGAGGGTGCTGGACCGTTCCCTAGTGTTCACTGTGCAGTTTAACCTTCCACTCTGCTTCATCCCCGAGGCTATGTAAAACAGTGAGGTGAGGCCACCGCCCCCGGGATTCTGTCGGAACCACTGCACACTGTCTGGAGTGCTAGAAAAATTGCACTTCAGAGTAGAGCTGGCTCCCTCCTGGAGGCTCAGGGCTGAAGGGCTCTGCTCCACCTCCATCCCTCTCACCCCTGCGTGGGAAGGGAAAAACAAACACAAGTGATGTCTCTAGGGGGTCACTGATGCAGTTTCCAAATTTGTAAAATACCCTGAGACACACCACAGAGGACGTAGGACCCTCTAGGAGCTCAGTATCAGCTCCCCCCCACCACTGTGGGCTGTGGACCCCACCCGAGTACCCTTAGAAAATCCACACTCACAGCAAACATGGACCCACAGAAGCCCCAGAAGAGCTCGCCAGCGTCTCTTCATGATTCCTTGTCTAGTTGATGAGGTACTTCTGCCTACCGGGCGGAGTGTAGAGTCTTGGATGCAGAGAAATTGTGTCTTACAGTCATACCGTTCCAACAGAATCACTGAGCACCAATCACACCTCAGCTCTGTCATTTATGGACCTCGAGACTCCACCCACGATGACCCAGGACACTGCACAGTAATCTCTCCAAAATTGTGCTTGCCAGCAGTGCAGGGAGGTAGGGGCAATATTTCCAATATAGGAGAATAAGAGGGGTTTTCTTCTTGAAACACTTTATGTAAGAAATGTGTGGGTTAGTGTGTGAGGAAAGGTAAATGATATTTCTAGAAGAGTCAGGGCCCAATGGGGGTTACATAAAACCTTGAAGAATCATAGCGAAGAGTGTCTCCATTCCCCAATTTGCACAGTTTGACAGACAATGTGAGAATTCGATTATATGAAAATACTGATAAAGGAAAACAAACTGATAGCATGCATTTTGTATTGCTGAAGTAACCACAATTTCTTGAAATCAAGACAGTTCTAGAAACCAAGACAGACAGTCACCATCTGCATAGATTATTACTGCAATCAGAATTTGGTTGGCGAAAAATAAGATGTCTGCATACTGTCCTCTAACTTTCACCTCTCCACTCCTCCTGTGCAATCCATGGACCCTGCTCACCCGCAGAGCTGAGTCTGGCCAGGCCACACGTTGCTGGTCACAGTCAATATTGTCCTTTCCCTTTCCTTCTCTTTTTCTTCCTTATTTTTTCCTTTCTTCTTCTCTTCAGTCTTGTTCCCTCCACTCTCAGCAGAGATACGTGAAAAGGTAAGATACCTGGGATTTTGAAATAATTTCAAGACCAGTAAATTTGGGGCATTTTATTCATAACAATTGACAACAGGTAATGGGATGTTTTCTGTTGAGTGTCCATGCTCACAATGCCCAGAAATAATCTTATCCTGCTACCTGTGGAGAATTATCTGCATAATGAATTTCTAGAGACATGGCCTCCAGATGTCTGAAGTTGATACGCAACAGCAGAACTGAAAACCTGAAACGAACTTTACACAAACCCTGCCCCCGCCTTCCCCAACCTTTGCTATCTATAATTGGACTGGCTCACATGATTTCTGTTCTCTCTTTAACTGTTCAACCCTTGCACCATCAGAGTCTTTGTTTCTTTTAAGGTCTAGAGTGCCCCCTAGAGGACTGAAGGGGTCAGCAAAGACCACTTCAGACCAAGCCACTCAGCAGAAACAGCCCCCAACCCCATTCATTCCAAACTTTCTGATGAAGGTGATGCAGATGGTCAGAAAAGAAGACACCTGCTTAGACTGACTGGGGATTACAAGTGAACCAAATTCTACTTTTAAAATGGAATTGCACGGAAATTGATATCAGAAAATAATTTGGTAAATCTCACCTTGTGCTCTTTATTTGATTTCATTACCTTCGTTCAAAAGAAATCCGTAATTTTACTTATTGAGCCTTTAGTTTCAATGGGGTAATTTACTAGATCTAAGAATTTATAAAAGAGTAATGAAATATTATTCAGCAATTTAAAAGAATGAAATCTCGCCATTTACAACGACATGGATGGAGCTGGAGAATATAATATTGAGGGAAACAAGTCAATCAGAGAAAGGCAAATACTATATGATTTCACTCATGTGGAATTTAAGAAACAAACCAAATAAGGAAAGAGAAAAAATAAGACAGAGAGAGAGAAGTCAAGAAACGGACACTGAATTAAACAGAACAAACTGATGGTTACCAGAGGGAGAGGGCTGGGGGTGGGTTAAATAGGCGAGGAGAGGAAGGCGTGCCCTTGTCCTGATGCGCACTGGGTGTTCTGTGGAAGTGTTGAATCACTGGATTGCGCACCTGAAACTACTATAACACTGTATATTAACTAACTGGAATTTAAATAAAAGTGGTGAGTGGATGAATGAATTTTTTAAAATAATACATAAAAGTGGATAATATACTAGTTTACAGTCTACGGGGGAGGCAAAAATGTGTATAACTAATAGAATCAATGAGTAGGACCCGAAGGAGGCGTGAAAGGTAAAAACTACCTGATCCCAGAGGAGGTAGAAATGCTTATACTTCGGGTCATTTTACAAAATCTTGTGAAGCATGGGATCATTTTCTCTTGTCCCCTTTTTGGTGAAAGAATAGAAAAGAATACACATAAACCTTTATGATGGCTTTTATGACTTTTATTACTTCTAACAATAGGAGGAATTTTGAATATATGAGTTATTAAAAGTAATAAAACATTACCTATAGACTAAAATCCCTTTTATTACCACTCCCAATTCTGGCCCTTTTGTCACTTATTACCCTAAGTCGTTCTTCATCTTGTACAACTGGAGTTAATGTTTCAAGGTGTTTTACTAGATTTCAATAACCAGGAAACGGACAGTATTTTATTTATACTTTGTTATAATACAAATAAACATTTTCGGTATACCTTTCTGTAACTTCCTTTCTAAACTCAACAGTAAATTTTGTAGGTCTTAGTATATTAACCCATATACATCCCTTGTACCACTATATTCCATATTGTGGATATACTTCCATTTATACATCCTTTACTCTCCTGAGTAATAGTTAAGATGATTTTTTTAAATATGAATACTACACTGCAATAAAATGTACTAAGCATTCCTCACTATGAACACGTTTTTCTAGGAGCAGAGACTAGGAAGAACTGAAGGAACAAGCCATGAGCCTACTAGGTGAAAATTACTCCAGCAAAAGGAAAGTCAGGGACAAAGGGTCTGAGGAAGAATGGGGAGAACTTGTTCTGATTATTGTGTTGGATGGTTTTCTTTTTCTATTATTTTTCTTAATGTGCATTGCAACTGTAGTTTTATCAGCTCTTTTGATGAACTCTTTCCGAAATTACTGTCCTGATAGGAACATAGTGACAGTTTGCTCCAACTAGACACTGAGGTTTTCTAAATATAGTAAATCAGCAAGAGAAAAAGCACACCCAAGGAAAGGGAGTGGTATATAAGAGGAAAAAATGTTACAAAATAAAATTAGACATATAAAAATTGTACACACTTGCACAAGCACAAACACACACAATGTAAGGATACTTGTCATTAGAACAGAAAGAAAATTCTCCCAGTGCAACAGAAGACAGCCTAGAAAAATAAAGAAGGAAACAAAAGCATATGAAGGAAAACCAAAATATTAGAAATGACTTCAAATACATCAATAATCAAAACACTGATAAAAAGAAATTATTGGATCGAACCAAAATTTTAAAATCTTGCTACATATTGCTTTGGAGACAAACCTAAAAGAAAACAGCCCAGAAAGATGAGCAGATAGGATGGGATTTTACTGCTGCCTCTGTGTGCAAAGACTAAAGACCCCTCTTCACCTGCCAACCCCACCACACCCACCAGAGAGATCCCAAGGAATGTCAGTTCTGCTGAAAAAGAAGTCAAAGCTGTCTGAGAGAACACCTAGCTAGCAAACTAAGGGAACTCCTGCAAAGGGAAGATCTAAGAAAGGAAAGCCAGAGGTTAAAAAATTTAATATTCCAATAGAAAAGAGAACAGAAAAGAGAAGAAAACTGGAAGAAATGAAATACCAAGAAGAAATTGAGATTTACAGAAAAGGATGAAAGTAAAATTAAGCAAATCCCACATCTTGATAGAGCACAGGATAAAAACAAGTGTGAATAACAGCTTCCACATTCTCATCAGTGGTCCCTCAAATCTCCATTCTTTCACAACTGGGAATGCTTTAAGAACAATTGAAAGTGCACAATTCTAATTCTTCTAAAAACACATTAAGCAAAGTTAAGAAACCATCATCAAAATTGTGTATAATCGTTCTCTGCACAAGAAATCAAGTGCAGATTTGCATCAAGGGAGACTTCAACTCTTGTTTACGAACATCACACTTATTTACTAGGAGGATCAATTGTAGTATCTTATTAAATGAAATGTATCACAAAAAGCAATCTTGGAGTCATACCTACACATATAAATATCTTAAACTTTTTAACAATATATCTTTTATATCATGTTTCAGTGCATTGTTTCCTAAATAAAAGTGTTCCTTTGTCTTAGATATCCCCCTAGGAACTACGTATGAAGGTCTAATATCCCAACAAAAGATTCCCACTTACAGCTCAAGGAACTAGGAAAAGAATAAAGTAAGCCCGAGGTCTACAGAAGGAGTGAAATAACAAAGATTACTGCAGAAATAACAAAACAATAGAAAAAGTCACAAACTAAGAGTTTTTTGTTTGTTTATTCTTTTAGAGAAAGAGAGTACATGCAAACTGGGGTGAGGGGCAGAGGAAGAGGGAGAGAGACTATCTTAAGCCGGCTCTGAGCTCAGCCTTGAGCCCAGCAAGGCTGAATCTCATGACCCTGAGATCATGACCTGAGCCCAGATCAAGAGTTGGACGCTTAACCCACTTAGCCACCCAGACACCCCTAAAAGTTATTTTTTTGAAAAGAGAGCACTTGTGAATTATCAATGATGAGAAATCTAAAGCCCACAGAACGGAAGGAAAAATTAACACCAGGGACTACATCAAACTGAAAAGCTCAGCACAGTAAAGAAAACAATCAGCAGCATCAAAGGTCATCCTACAGAGTGGGAGAAAATATTTGCAAACCACATATATGATAAGGGGTTAATATCCAAACTATAAAAGGAACTCCTATAACAAAAAAATTTTTTTAAAACCACTAATAACAATAAAAAATTTTAAAACATAAAAAAACAAATAAAAATAAAAAACCACTAATAAGCCAATTAAAAGCGGTCTAGGGACTAGAATAGACATTTCTTTAAATAGACATTCAAATGGCCAACAAGCATGTGAGAAAATACTCAATGTCACTGATCATCAGGACAATGCAAATCAAAGCCCCGGTGAAATATCACCCCTCACTGTCATGCAATTATGTGAAAATGGACATCCTATTATGTATTCCACTATTTAAAATGTTGGTACTAGCCACAACTTAA